GATTAATAGTTTGATTTTCTTTTTGAATTGTTATCAGCTTCTATAATTTTAAATTGTATTGTTTTAGTTTCCTATTTTCTCTCATTGTTTTTATTATGGTGAAAATGTACATTGATCTGCCAACACAACTTCCACATTTGCAACTCAGGAACACTGGTTACGTTTTTCACATTATTTCATTATCACTGTTGTCATCTATAACATGCTACCCCCATTGACGTGAACTCAGTGCCCCCCAAACGAAATGCCCCCTACCTCCACCTCCCACTTCTGGTAATCATGAATAATGTCACTTCTGTTTGTTTATCTTATATCAGTGTGATCACATAATATTCACCCTTTTCTGACTGACATTATTTCGCTCAGCATAGTGTTTCAAAGGTTCATCCATCAGGCATGCATTATGCCTTCATTTCTCTTTGTTGTTGTTATTAAGTACCTTGAGTCATTTCTGACTCATAGCGACCCTATGAGTTTCCAAGGAGTGGCTGGTGGGTTTGAACCACCAACCTTGAGGTTAACATTCCAGTGTTTTATCCTATAGCATCACACCAGAACATTTCTCTTTACAGCTGACTAATACTTGTATTCCATTATAAGTATGTACTGCCTTTTGTTTATCCATTAAACCCACTGCAGTTGAGTTAATACTGACTTATAGTGATCCTATAGGAACAGAGTAGAACTACTCCCTAGGGCTTCTGAGGCTGTCACTCTATAGTAGCAAACTACCTCATCTTTCTCCCTTGGAGTAGGTAGTGGGTTTGAACCACCCACTTAGCAATTAGTGGCCCAGTGCTTTAGCTACTCCACTACCAGGCTTCCTTGCTTATTATCATTAGATGGTTTTATTTTGATTTACCCTGTCACCTGAAAGAGCAAATGATTAACTTTCTCTGAGGTACAAACTCATACTCCGTCACTTAAAAGTCACCATTAAGTGTGTGTGTTTGTATTTTCATATATGTCTACCTTGATATGCAAGTATCCCTTATTCCAGGGGTGTCTGGGCTTGAGTTTAGAAAACAAAGACATGGGCGATACATATCCAGGTGGGGAACTGGGCACCATGACCTTATCACCAGCATGGACTTCTACTGCCCAAGGCATTCTCATAGTGGGTAGAGCGTAAGTGCCAGCGGTAGCCCCTGCCCTCGCAGACAGCAGCCTCACAGAGAAAAAGCAGTCCCAGCCTACAGGTTGGAGGTCATGGGTCCCTTCATGTGTCAAGCTGTTCCTGGGATTGGCAAAGCTGATGGCCACTCCAGGGTGTCCAGCCAGGACAGATATGGCCTTGTGTATAGGCTGCCTGTGTCCCGATCTGCTGCCTCCCAGACAGCAGATCTTGGCTTTCTGCCCCTTCCCCAGCTCACTTGGGTGGGCTCTCCCAGGCCTCCGTTGGCAGCACAGAACATGGAAAGATTTCTGAAGGCTCTACACTGGACACTTGGGTTTGATTTCTGTACAGCCACCACCTATGTTGTCAGTGGAGAATTGCATGAGTGGCTCTATGGGTTAATGTGCCAGTGTGGCTCTATGGGTTAATGTGCCAGACTGCAGCACTGTTTGAACTACAAGGTCAGTGGTTCAAGTGCAGCAGTTGCTCCTTGGAAACCTTATACAGGGTCGTTATGGATCGGAACTGACAGCACTTAGCAACAACAACATGATATCGAATGGAGACCTGGTGTGGCGCTGTGGGCTAATGCATCAGACAGCAAAGTCATTTGAACTGCAAGGTCGGTGGTTCAAGCTCACCAGCTGCTCCTTGGAAACCCTATACAGGGTCGCTATGGGTTGGAATTGACTCAATGGCATTTAACAACAACAACAACATGATATTGAATAGGTTTCAGAAGAACTTCCAGACCAATGCAGATTAGGATGAAAGCCTTGGTGATTTCTTCCAACAATCAGCTGGTGAAAACCGTATGGATCACAACTGATCTACAGTTGATCATGGGGCCAGTTCAACAGCATCTAACAACAGCCTAGTGGCACAGGGACCCTGTCTCACTACAGTGCTGGGTGGGCCCAGGGTCCACTGCACCCAGGTTAGGGCTGGAAGATGTCAAGGTCCACATCCTTACTCTGTCAGCAAATTGTATGCAGAATTTTAGGCCCATGATTCTCATAGTGTGGTCCTTGGCCCAGCTTTACTGTTAAGGATGGAAATTGTGCCTTTCAAAAAGAGAGCTTAAGTCCTAATCCTGGGTACCTATGGATGTGACCTTGTTTGGAAATAGGGTCTTTGAAGATTTAATAATTTAACATGAGTTCATACTGAAGTAGGATGGGTCTAATCCAATAGGAGTGGTGTCCTTATAAAAGAGGAGAAGAGAGAGACACACACATACAGAAGGATGAGGGCCATGTGAAGATAAAGGCAGAGATTAGAGTGATCTACAAGCCAGGGAACACCAAGGATTGCTAGCCATCACCAGAATCTTAAGAGTGAGACATGGAACAAATTCTCCCTCAGAGTCTTTAGAAAGAATCAGCATGGCTGATACACTCTGGACTCCTGTCCCCCAGTACTCAGAGATGACCCATTTCTGTTCTCATAAGCTACCAAATTTATGATACTTTTTGGTTGGCAGCCCTAAGAAACAAACACATCTGGGAACTTGTTAGAACTATAGATCATCAGATCTGAAAAAAGGTGACTATCATTTCTTCAATTATTTGTTTTGTCTCCTGCTCTTTCTCCTATCTTTCAGAGATTCCAATTATATATCTATTAGTTTGCTTAAGGTTGTCCTGTACTTCGGTGATGCTTTGTTCATTTTAGATAGTGATGTGTTTCATTTTTAAAGAACAATTTCTTAAGGTAAAATTCACATAACATAAAATTAACCATCCTTGGCAGCTTTGATATTTTCTCCATTTGTCATGATGCTGCTTATTGTATTAGCTCAGTTGTGAGGATTTTTGTTTTCTTTACATTGAGTTGTAATGCATTCTGAAGGCTTCATTAGTATGTGCTTCAAGTCGTCTTCATTTTCAGCAAGCAAGTTTGTGTCATCAGCATATTGCAGGTTGTTAACCTGTCCTGGAGGAAGTACTCCTTAGAAGTGAGGATAGCTAAATTTTGTCTCATATACTTTGGACATATTGATAAGAGAGAACACCCTTGGAGAAGGGCATCATGTTTGGTAAAATAGAGCGTCAACAAAAAAGAGGAAGACCCCTAAATAGATGGTTTGACACTAGCTGCAACAATAGGCTCAAACATAGCAATGATTGGAAGAATGGCACAGGACTGTACACAGGTTCCCTTTGAGTTAGAGCAGACTCAGTAGCACCTAACAACAGCAGCAGCAAAATTATTTTAAAGTGAACAATGCCATTTGGTACATTTTGTCCAACAACTACCTCTATTTAGTTCCAAAGTATTTCCATCACTCAAAAATAAACTCCATGGGTACATCAAGCACTTTCTCCCTAGTCTTCCTCCCTCCATCTCTATGGACTTACCTATTCTGGCTATTTCATATAAATGATATCATATAATATCTGGTTTCCACATTGTATCTGGTTATCCGTGTTGTAGCATGTATTAGTACTTTGTTGCTTTTCTGGCTGAACAAGATTCCATTGTATATGGTAGTGGTAGTGGTGTGCCATGTATTGGTTCCAATTCACAGCGACCCTACATAGGGTTTCCGAGGCTGCAAATCTTTATGGGAACAGAAAACCTTATTTTTCTCTTGTGGAATAGCTGGTAGTTTCGAACTGCTGACCTTGAGGTTAACAGCCCAACTTGTAACCACTATGCAACCAGAGCTCTTTCTGGTATACATATACACCCCCATTTGTTTAATCATTCATCTGTTGAAGGATACGTGAGGAGTTTCTACTTTTTGGCTCTTGTGCATAGTGCTGCTGTGACCATTCATATACATGTGCTTGTTTGCATTCCTGCTTTTAACTTTTAGGGGCAAGTACATAGGAGTCCTGGTGTGGCGCTGTGGGTTAATGTGATGGACTTCAAAGTCGCTTTGAACTGCAAGGTTGGCGGTTTAAGTTCACCAGCTGTTCCTCGGAAACCCTATACAGGGTTGCTATGTTTGGAACTGACTCAATGGCACTTAACAACAACACATAGGAGTAGAATTGCTGGCTCATATGATAATTCTGTTTATTTCTGAAAACACTAAACTGTTTTCCACAACAACTGAACCATTTTATATTCCTGCTAGCAATGTGCAAGGGTCCTAGTTTCTCCTTATCCTCACCTACTGCTTTCTGTTTTATTATTATTATTATAGCCATCCTAGTAGGTGTGAAAGGAGTTCTAGTAATGTAGTTGGTTACGAGTTGGGCTGCTAACCACAAGGTCAGCAGTTCGAATCTACCAGCTGCTCCATGGGAGAAAGATGAGACTTTCTTCTCCTATAAAGATTTACAGCCTCAGAAATCCTATACAGCTTCACTATGACTCGGAACCAACTCCACAGCAAATAACCACCACCAGTAGGTGTGAAATAGTACCTCATTGTGATTTTGATTTTCATTTCTGTAATGATTGAATCTATGTGGGTATAAAGAATTAATGATCCCTGATCATGCAGTGGGTTAAGCCTTGGGTTGCTAACTACAAGGTTGGTGGTTGAAGCTTACCAGCTGCTCCGAGGGAGAAAGATGAGGAAGTCTGTACCCATAAAGACTGACAGCCTCGGAAACCCTATGGAGCAATTTTACTCAGTCCTACAGGGTTGCTGTGGGTTGAGTCAACAGTAGTGTTTATTTTTGTAAATGAGTAAATTTCTTTTACTCATTAAAAACATCTTTTAATGTACTTCCAGTTAATTGTAGATCTTTGGAGAAGTGCCTATTCAAGTACTTGGCTCAGTTTTCACTAGGGCTTCTGGGTCAGAGCGGCATCTCCTCACAGAGCGTGCCTTTCCCCAAGTGACGGGGCCAGGGCGGGGGACCAGACTGGGGTCGGGGCCGTCTGTGGTGGACATTGTTGGTGATGCTGCTGCTGTCGACTGCAGGGCTGGACATGGAGGAAGGGAAGGAAGGCGGGACATGGCTGGGCATCAGCACACGGGGCAAGCTAGCGGCACTCACCAACTACCTGCAGCCTCGACTGGACAAGGATGCCCGGGGCAGAGGTATGTATAGTGGGGCCAGTCAACCTGCAGGTTGGGCTTCTAGGACACTTTTTTTTTTTTTTAATATTTATTGTGAATTATGTGATAGTTTACATGGGAGAACATAAGCTTTACATTTATCTTGTCATATATTGTTTCTTTGCCATGGTTACAATCCCCT